TTGGAGGTTTTCCGGAAAAATGATGAAGGTGATGATCGCGGTGATGAACACTGATGAAATTTGGTGGAGTTGTTGAAGTCTCTGATGAACGTTCTTGATGATTTGTTGGAGAAAACGGTTGAGGATGGAGATTGTTTGAAGAATCGGTGAATGTTCTTGCAGATTTCTGGAAAATCTGTTATGGTGATGAACGGATGATGAAGACGGATGCAGATTGCTGGAAAATCTGGAGGTTTCTGCGGAAAACGCTGATGAATGTTCTTGAACAGTTGATGAATCTTCATGAAATCTAGAAAACGTATGAAGGTTTGGATGAATTTTCTGGTGGGAGTTGCAGTTTTCCGGTGACGGTTATGGAGGTTCCGGCAAACTTCTGGTGGTCTGCATGTGAATCGTGAGGGAACGACACCTCACCGAGCTACGTGGCGTGCATGCATGGAGAGATGGAGTGAGTGGGACGCGTGTGGGGTCAGTGGAAGAGTGAGGTGGCCGAAAGAGAGAGAGAGAGAGAGAGAGAGAGAGAGAGAGAGAGAGAGAGAGAGAGAGAGAGAGAGAGAGAGAGAGAGAGAGAGAGAGAGAGAGAGAGAGAGAGACGTGAGCCCCCTCTTATAGTGACATGTGGCAATGGATTTGGACTATGGGCTTGATTGGTGGACATCTGGCCCACGAAAATGGATTAAACAATGATTAAGAAAAAACCCAATTAATGCAAGTAAACTCAGTTAATGGACTCAATTAATGCAATTAAGATGATTAAAAACTCAATTAATTGCTAAACGAAAATGCCTAATAAATTTGATTAAAATCCAATTAACCTCTAAGAATTAAGTCTAAAAAGATATTAAAATCCACTAAGTTCTAAAAAGAATTAAACTAATCTAAAAAGGAATTAAATCTATTAATAAAACCTATTAATCCTAAACAATTCAATTAATATTCTAAGAAAGAATTAAATCTATTAACTTTCTAAAACAAATCAAATAATATCTAGAGAAGAGTAAAATCTATCAATTTCTAAACAACTTAATTAATATCTAGACATTTATAAAAAAATAGAAAAACTATTTAAACCTAATAAAATCTATTTAATATTCTAGAAAAACAATTAATCTCGAAAAACTATTTTAAAATCTATTTTCTAAAGTCAAAAAATTAAGAAAAAAAATCTAGAAAATGCAATAAGAGTCAATTAAATCAATTAAAAAAAAAGAATGCGATAATATAACGAAATAAACGGTAAAAATCGGACACCGAAATATCCTCAAAAACAACAGCATAAGCTGAAAACACCGGAACGAGCACGAATTCCACAACAAAACTTGCTTATTCGAACTGGTTTGAACTGCTTGAAACGTGATAAGAGGGTTGTAATTCCGATAAAATCAATCTGGCTGAAAAAATGCAATGTACGCGGTATGCAAATGCAAAGTGCAAAATGAATCAAAACATAAGCCAAATACAATAATTGGTTGGTCAAATTTTGGGGTGCAACAGTCATCAAGGAAGCAAAAGGTGGTATCAAGATCAAACACTGAGTCAGAATACAAAGCCCTAGCTGATCTAGCTGCTGAAATAGCATGGATTCGTTCATTACTTGCTGAACTCAAAATCCCACTTCCAAGAAAACCCATATTATGGTGTGATAACTCGAGTGCCAAGGCACTAGCCTCAAATCCTGTTCTGCATGCTCGTTCCAAACACATTGAAATTGATATTCATTATATCAGAGATCAAGTACTACAAAATGAAGTTGTTGTGGCCTATGTTCCTACAACTAATCAAATTGCAGACTGCCTCACCAAACCATTAAGTCACACACATTTCAGTCAGTTTAGAGACAAACTTGGTGTTATCCACTCACCACCAGTTTGAAGGGGGGAATTATAAACATGATTCCTTAATATCAGCATCATGTTCCTAGTATTTAATGTATAATCAATATCACTTATGTGCTAATTATAAGCATCGATATTATGTTTCATATTGTGTGTACAACCATCATTATTAGCGTTATTGTAGGATCATGGTCTCTACTTTCATGTATATATATGTATGTTACTGATCAATACAAATATAACAAGTTTATACATATTGCAATTGTTCTAACTCCTGTTTACATAGCAGGCCTGCCATAGGACTTGTTGACCCCTGCGCACTAAAGTTGTACTACTTGATGTTGATTTGAGAGAAAAGAGATGGAATATGATGATCTCTTTGAGCCAAAATAATGAATATTGACAAGGTACATGATCCAATGACAAGACAAAACCCTAAAAATTAGAGGATATAAAAAAAAACCTATTGGACGAAATGTAAAGGAGGTTCAAAAGTTGAGAGACTTGAGAAATCATTCAGGAAAAATATCTCATTGAATAAGAAGAAGTTTAAACCAGTAATGAAGAGTTCCTTTCATCCGTCCTCCAGTGAAGAAGTGTTGAGCTTCCTAACATGACAAAACATGTCTCGTATTGATTGAAATATTGCAAGGAGTAAAGTTCACACTTAAATTTACATTTTCTTTTCATTTGTGTTTAGAAATATTAGTTGTAAGAACTTGTGTTGTTGTATTTATTTTGCTCACTGTGAGGTAAACATTTTTATGTTAAGCAATGTAAAGTTTAATAATAAGAAGTATTTTGTGTTAAAATAATATGGTTTAAAGTGGTGGATTTTACTAATTGAAATAATGATATACACTAGTTTATTTTTTTGATTGCCTTAGAAATAGGTAAAAGTTGGTTAAGAGATGAGATATCTATTAACCAATGGAATTCATAAGTAAATATGATTGAAAATAGTAGGATATATATTAACCAATGAGATATCTATTAACCAATAGACATTTTAGAGTACACATTCTCTCCTATGTATTTGTACATTGTCATCGATTGGATGACGCCTCCTCTTATGTGTTGTACATTATTGCTAATTGGATCGGCGCCTCCTCTGTGTTGGAAATTTTTTATGTTTGAAAGTGGGTTATTTTGGGAAATACGTGGGAAAATGAGTTAATTTGAATATTTATTTGAAAAAGTTGGTTATTTGGGTACAAAAAATCATTTTAGAGATAAATGACTACAATCATAAGAGAAATCATAAGTTAAAATATACATGTTTTAATGTTATTATGAGACCTCGAGAATTGTTCTCTTGACGTAATGCATGTGCTTTGATATTATAGACATACATCACTATATCACTTTCTGCCTCATCTGTCATGATAGATCTCATCACACACACAAAATATAAACTTCGTTAAATGGATCATTGTCTACATGTCTCTCACTATTAGTTTAACTTATTTATTACCATTTATACTTATTCAACTTAAACCTATGACAACTCATTTTTTCATGATTATTCACAAATTTTTATTATAAAAGTCAATTTAAATTATTATATTTTTTATGAGTTCAATACTCTTACTTTTATATTAGTTGCTACTATTTAATTCTATATATTAACGCATATTAATAGTTTTCACAACAAATATAAAAGTAGTTAAATCTTAAAGTTAAAGTATGTTTTAATAGACATTGTTAAAATCTTAAAACTATTTAATTTAATTATATTTTAATATTTTAATAAAAAATTATTTTTTATATTTGTTCTACTAAAATATTAAAATTTTTAAATTTCAACAAAATATAAAAATTAGAACAACTTAAATATCATGTTATAAATGTGTTGACCTTTTTAAGACTCAAACCCGAATCAAATTTAACTTTAATAAATTTCTCTTTCTTGACATGAATGTTTTTAGTTGACTTATCATTAGGAAATGAATAATTTGTACATTTTTATTTACCCTAATTATCTGAGTGTTATTTTTTTTTATCATTAACCAACTAATTAACATGCATGTTCACCTTAATTTTTTATGTGATAGTCACACCATTAATTATTAATTGATATGATCGGTAAAAGATGTAAGACACTCATCACTCCATAACCATAAGAGTCATAAACGATAATCACTCTTTAACTAATTCGGAAAATTAATTCGAATTTGAGGAGTGACAATGCAAAAGAATAATTAGAATTTAGATATCCACACACCACAACAAAACCAGTCTTTTTGAAAAAAATATCGGAGGTTTCTGCTACCCCAAATTTTATTTCCCACACTTCCTATATTTATATCATAATATTCTCATTGATTCGTTTACGCTTTTGAAAAAGTGTGTTTTTTTAAAATTTTAAGTTTTTATTGAATTTTTAAAGGATTTCACGAGTTTTTATTGGATTTTTGGAAAATCTATGCATATACTGAATTTGAACTATCGAATTTTTCAAAATATACTACCAAATTATTCAAAATCTTATAAAATTTTATCAGATTTTTCAAATACACTACCAGATTTTTCAAAAAATATAAGTTTTTACCATATTTTTAAAAAAGTATATGAGTTTTTATTGGATTTTTCAAAAGGTCTATGAGTTTTTACTGGATTTTTCGAAATACACTATCAAAAGTTTTTCAAAAATGTATGAGTTTTACCAGATTTTTCAAAATACTCTATCAGATTTTTCAAAAAACTATGAGTTTTTGTCGCATTTTTCAAAATACACTATCAGATTTTTCAAAAATATGAGTTTTTACTAAATTTTTCAATAAAATTCGATATTGTACCCGATGTTTCAAAAAATTTGATAGCGTTAATTTTAGTTTTTTTCTATCAAAATAAACTATCTGATTATTCAAAAAAATGTTTTTTTAAGGATATTATTATGAAATTAAATGTGGAGGTGTATGGTTCAAGTATTATTGTCAAATTAAGAGTAATGTGGAGGTGCCCAGTCCAAGTGAGGGTGCCACGTAGACTTCTAAAAGAAAAGCCCAATTAAAAGTGGAGGCGTAGAAAGAGCCCATTTAGAAGCCCAACCCGAGCCTACGACATTTTGTAAAACCCTACACATAGAATTTCTAAGTTTCATATCACAAGGGTTCTGAAACCAAACTCTGCAGAATCACATCGAAGCAGCCTCCATACTTCACCATGCCAAAATCCAAGAGAAACAAGCAAGGTACGTTCATCTATTCCTTCTAATAATCGCTTATTTGAACTTTCGAAGACAAACACCATGATTCTGATTTTGATTCTGATTATATATTCACAGTTACACTTTCGAAGACAACGAAAAAGGGAAGAGGTCACAAAGAAGTGATTGTTAACGCAATAAGAGATGCAGCTGAAAATTACAATTCGGTTTACGTTTTTTCGTTTGAGAATATGAGGAATAAGAAACTGAAAGAGTTTAGAGATGAGTTGAAATCAACTAGTAGATTTTTTCTTGGATCCAACAAAGTAATGCAAGTTGCTCTTGGTCGTTCTGCTTCTGATGAAATTAAACCTAATCTACATAAAGTTTCAAAGGTAGTTTATTTATTTATTTGTTTGTTTTTGATGAATGGTTTTGTTGTTCTATTTTGATTTTGATTTTTTTTTCTACCATAGTTGTTGCGAGGAGATGCTGGAATGGTTTTTACTAATATGTCTAAAGAAGAAGTTGAAAGGTATTTTTTTTTTTTTTTTGCAATTAGCAATGAGCAAACTTTATATGTTATTATGAGTGTGTGCAGCATGTATTCATGAAATCGCGACGTTTTAGTCTAAAGATTATTACTTGTAAGCTAAGAAACACATGACACTCACATTAACACATTGATACCCGTAAAAATTTGAAAAAATGAATAAATTAAACGGAATCACATGTGTTTGTGTCTGTCTCAAACACGGACACGCATACATCTTTTTTCTTTTTTCAGAGGTGTCGGGCTACATGGCTTTTAATAATATGGAAATCTGACATTTTAGTCTCTTAACAATTTTTTATAACAATGACTAAATTGACAGATTTTAGATACTTTAAGGACTACTTAGTATATGTATACGGGATTAATTGATGATTTGTTGAGTTGATCTTTTGATTGGTTTGCTATTTTGATTCTTATTTTGAGTGGAAAATTTGTGAAATATCACTTGTTTGTCAACATTTTCTGGTGAGGTTGCTCTAGATATCTCACTGTCGTTTGACTTGAACCTGATTTTTTATTGATGCTATTTGCAGGCTGTTTAATGAATTTGAGGAATTTGATTTTGCAAGAACAGGAGGCATTGCCACAGAAAAGGTGTTTGGTTTTGACAAATCTTTTTAATGCAATTGCCTTGTTAGTAGAAATCATTTTCCTGTCATATCTTATAGGTGCTTATGCATATGGCACTTGTTATGAATTTTGTAAATAAAGCTCATTCTTTTAAGGTCTGACTGTTTTAGGTGGAACTCAAGGAAGGTCCTTTAGACCAGTTCACACATGAGATGGAACCTTTTCTGCGGAAGCAAGGAATGCCTGTTCGGTTAAATAAAGGTTTACTGTTGTATTGCTGTGTGATTATTGTTGATGTGAACCTACCAATTATAAGACCGATGATTGATGTTTCCAAAATTTTGCAGGAGTTGTAGAGCTTGTTTCTGACTTTGTTGTCTGTGAGGAGGGAAAACCGTTGTCACCTGAAGCAGCGCGCATACTGGTTAGTTATTTTGTTATTACCTAAATCATTTGTGCCATGTGTTGGTCAACATAAAATGTGACACTTTACTTTCAATATTAGGACTCTCTAAATTTAATCACTACTCTAAATATGATTCCTCGTTTAGCACTATAGTGTGCATCTGACACTGTTTTTGCTTTTGACAGCGTTTGATGGGAGTCAAGATGGCTACATTTAAACTGAACCTTGTTTGCAGGTGGAGTGCTGATGATTTTGAACTCTACATTGACGGACCTGGTGATTCAGATGTTGAATGCTCATAGTATAGTAAATGACAGAAATGACAGAATGTTGAAGATGAAATTTACCTTGAAGCGGCTACAAGCTTACTATGCAGTATTGGAGTTTTTTTAGGAAATGTATGTTTAGGAGGAATTGATGAATGTATTTTTAGCAGGGAAGTGGCATGTATGGTCCGTTACTTAAAATCCAAATTTTGTGAACTAGAAATATTTTTGTTACTAATATTCAATATTTCAATTTATCAAGTTGCAAACAAGCATTTGCCTCGTTAAACTTCATGTATTGAAGTCTTGTGAACGCATAATACATTACACTTGTTGATGTTATACCTCGTGGACGCCATAACTCATGTAATCCTTGTTTTCCATTAAGAGCTCATGTATATGAACCATTATGTGAAAATTGGTCAAAAACTGTGTTTACATTTTAGTACTAAAAAGCAGGAACAAATTATTAAAAAACAATAAAAAATCATCATAAACCTTACTTGGTTGATAAAACAAATCTTGTGATAATCAATTACGATTTTAATGAAATTCAAATAAATACCGTGGTATCAATTGAGTTTTCTTGAAATTTATAAAAATATAAACATACTAACATCTCTTTCAAATTCATGAGACCTTTTAAAACTCTAAAAGACTTTTTCTATCATTATACACACTGTATTATTTTATTTTATTTTATTTTTTATTCACTTTGTTTTTTCTTCTATCTTCATATTTCATGCTTACTATTATTTTACTTTTTATTTATTTTATTCTTCTTATCATCATCTTTCATGCTCTGTTACTTTTATTTACATTGTCTTTTTCCAATCATCATGTTTATTTATACTAATTAATCATTATCATTTTTCTCCAACAATTTCAATTTAATCTATATTTTAAACATAAATTATATCAACAACTTACACTAATTTAGTTCAATTAACATATATCAATTAAATAATATTTAATTGTTATTGTGTTATGTTATTAATTATAAGTGAATATTATTTTTTATTAAATTTTTATTCATTATATTTTAACTAATACTTTTGATAATTAAAAAATAAGAATTGTACTTTTGATAAAAAAATATTCAATCTACAATATTTATTCTTATTCAATCTCGTAGATTAATGTGATGGATAGAATACAAAACATTTTGTATTTTTAAATAGGAAAAACCTATATAATTCATAAGTGAGGGATGACAAATTTTGTTTTGTTTTCATATCTTGATGCTTCAATATGATAGCGAGATATTTGTAAACCCTCTAATGTTCAAGTTAATCACGATTGAAAATGATATGTTTTATACGTGACATTTTCATTAAAATTTATTTGTAAGGTTTATGGATTGGACAATTGTAGGATTGAACAACAATACAAATGAATAATTGTAGGATTAGACGAATGTCTTAGGATCCTCTAAGTATAATATGATGATTATACTTATAATATATCTTATCAAGTGTTCTTTTGGGTTTAGTCTATCTTAAATTTTATTTTGGATTGGGCCAGAGGATGACTCACTGTCGGACACGGCCCTACCTAGCTACTCGTCGGGGATGACCTAATGAAGACCCAATCCATCAACTCACATGGGGAACGCTCACGCATCTTCCCCACGGTCTTTAGGTGCTCTCCACGCGGGGATACACCATCAGCCAACTACCCGCGTCCGAGAGAACATGTCTTCCACCTTCCAAAGATCGCAGGGCAGTTGGACTAGGATGAAGACCACGTGCTGGTCTTCACTACGCCACGTAGATCCTAGCAGTTATTTGTATTAGGCCTAACGACCCAGCCTGTGCAAATGACCGTTGGCCCAGCGCCGGAGGCACATTATAAATACCCTCTTTCAGTAGAAGGTCGGATATTCTAATTAAAACTCACTAACCTTTCTATACTTGCTTTGTTTCTTACTTTAGTATCAGAGTACCTTGCAGGTACACTCCTCTCCTCGTCACCACCACCGGCGAACTAGGAACTCACAATGCGTTGCTGGTTGCTGATCTCTTTCTGGTCCGGTAAGATCGGTGGCGTCGTCTGTGAGGAACTTCTGATTCCTCATTCTTTCTTCCTCAGAAACCAAAGAATCAAAGCATCTCAACTTCCATCGATCATGGTCATCCCACGCGTTGACGATAACGTCCGTGAAATTTCCTTCACCACCTTCAACGACCACGACAACCATGACCCCGACATGACTGTCCCCGTCGACGTGGTGGCCCCAAGGACGGGCGCACCGCCTCTCCCTCCTCCAGCAATGCGGCCGACAACTCTGCCCAAACATTTGACATTCTATCTATTTTTCAACCCATTCCTGTGCCGCTCAACGCCGACCTGACCACGGTAGCTCTGTTCACGGCGATCAACCAGACAAACCTGATGGTGTTCTAACAGAATGAACGCATCAGGATGTAGGAAAAGGAACGTCAATCATGCTCTACCTCGCGAAGACATAGGCGCTCAGTTTCTTGCATTCCATCCTCGAGAGGGCGAGAAACACGTCCCGTTTCTCCCCCGCGGAGACATCAACGAGACGAATCTTAAAGCCCCTCGCCACGAAAACATAGACGTCGCCCACGACTAGAGAGGCCTCAGCCCGTGATAACCCAGAAGCGTGACCGCAGTCCTCCCCGGAAGGAGCGATACTCTCTAGTCCCCAAGAGGAGCAAAGTTGACAAACAGATGGAGAAAACGAAATGTCGACCGAGGAGTCCTCCCTACTGCGGCAGGAGCCCTCAGTGTGACCCTTCTCCGTCGCGATCACCCATCATAAGCGACGAGGACGACCCTTGCACTGCGTTGTCCAGGGCCATCATGGAGGCTCCCCTCCCCATCGGAATGGAGAAACCACCGACACTGGCGACCTACGATGGTACAACCGACCTAGACGACCACATCAAGAGAATCGAGGCGATGCTCGACTACCGCCACGTCCGGGAAGTCATAAAATACAGGCTCTTCTCGACGACTTTGAGGAAGGGCACGATGACATGGTACAAGAGCCTCGAAGCTAAATCTATCACTTCCTAGAAGGAGTTGAAGAGGCAGTTCTCCAGACACTTAAATGCTTCTCGGCGACATCCGAAGAGGGAGGCATCCCTAGAGGATGTCATTCATGGGAAGGACGAATCTCTCCGGGACTATATAGAGAGATTCAATCGAGATATTGTCCAGGTATCCACGACAGACGGCATGAAGAGATACCTGATCTAGCGAGGACTGCGACCCCGCAGCGATTTCGCCAAGGCGTTCGGTATTGAAAGGCCCGATACACTGGACGGACTCCTCCACAAGGCCCAGTTCTACATCCAATATAAGGAGAAGGAGGCTGCCAACAATGCGCACGATTTGCGGAACCAAGAGAGTGCAAAAGTCCCCAGGCATGAAGAATATGCTGCTCCCCGACGTGGCAGAGACAAAAGAAGAGAATATTGTCCCCGCGACTCTCGGGAACACCGGGGGCCAATAGGCCGTTTCACTGAGTATACGCTACTCACCGCTCCCCACGAGCGCATCTTGGCCGAGTGTATCAACTTGGAGTTCCAAAGAGGTGGGTCCGCTTTCCGAAACTGACGTCCCCCTAAAACCAACGTTGACAAGTCCAAATACTGCCAGTTCCACAGGAGTCACATACACGTCACTGAGGATTGCATCCATCTCAAGGATGTTACCAAAATCTTGATCAAGGAAGGGCACCTGAAGAAATACAATAGGAGGAACAATTTTTCTCAACAAGAGACCTGTGAGGCGAAGAAGGTCGAGGAAGTGACGCCACCCTCCAACGACACCAGGATGCAGGTCGTTTTTTGCGTCTTCCAGTCAGAGGACTTCTACCTCTTATACACGGCCGACACGTAACCGTATACTCGTAGGCCATGGGAGAGTTTCCCCACCGCGATGGTCATATTCGGCGGAGGGTTCAACAAACTCTCAAAGGAGTCATTTAAGAGGAAGTTTGATGAGCTAATCGACAAACCTGATCACCTTCTACCTCGAAGAGCTACCGGGAGGCGCCCTAAATTCCAGCATCCCTCTATTGATCAGGGCTCAGATGGCAAACTTCGATGTTTCCCGCATTCTCGTTGACCAAGGGAGCTCGGTGAACATAATGTACGCCCACCTATTCACCACTCTCTAGCTCGACGAGATCCATCTGACGCCATATGTTAGCTCTAACTTGCAGGGCTTCAATGACACCACCACGAGGCCATGTGGCTACGTGGAGCTGCTCGTCACTTTCAGATCCAAGGAGACTTCCAAGCAGGTCAAGGTCCGTTTCATGGTGATAAAGTGTCCCTCACTATACCAATGCATTTTGGGGAGGCCAACCCTGACCGAGCTGACCGCAGTGCCTTCAAGCGTGCACCTAAAAATGAAGTACTACATGAATAGGGGTTGAGTTGTCACCCTTTGTGGAAACATCGAAGCGGCCAGAAGATGTTTCGAAGCGGCCACCAAGGGGCTCAAATCAATCAACATCCCACCCAAGAACACTAGCAAACTAGCTCGGTCTGAGGAGCAGAAGGTGCTACCCCGTGTCAACTCCGTTGACCTTGACAGCCGCTTCCCCAACAAGCAGGAGCAGAGCGAAGCACCAGAAGATGCACCTCCAGTAAATGGCGACAACAGGAAGCCACCCCATCCAGTTTACCCCATTCTATATGGAGACTTCGATCTCATCACCCTCGGGGACAAATTTGACAGGAGAGTGAAGATTAGCACGTGGCTCCCCGAATTGGCGTGGAAGCAGTTGAAGGCCTGTCTCAGGGAGAATGATGACCTGTCCGCGTGGAACGCTGTAGAGATGTCCGAGCTTGACCACGATGTGGCTTGCCACCAGCTCACCATAGATCCGACCGTTAGGGCCATAGTACAATGTAGGCATATGCAGTCTCTCGAGAAAGCGGAGGCTGCTGAAAAAGTTGTAAAAGACCTCCTAGAGGCAAATTTTATTTCTGAAGCCCAGTACACAACCTGGCTGTCTAACATTGTATTAGTTTAAAAAATCTAATAGAAATGGA